CTGTAAAATTGTAGCTATTTGAAGCCATTCCACGGTTCTGTAACTGTAGCACGGCTGAAAATCGACAAACTGAAACTTGCTTTTGAACAGGAAAAAGGCGTTTAAACGAAAAGCATTCAAAATGTGCACTGGATACGTGTCACGGTTGGACACTGAACAGAAGCCTTATCCCAAAAAATAAAACCAAAGGGTGATGTAAAATGCGCAGTAAAGTGCACAACATTGTACACAGATTTTTTAAAAGTCGTAAAGCGATGGTTAAATAAAAAGTAACTGGCTAACTGAAGAAGGAGAAAGGCAACTTGAATAATTGCCACTTACGCGAACTCTTAACGGAGCCGTTTTCTTATCTTCAGGCCACTCTTTTTCCCTTTCCTGCGTTTGCTCTTGAAGCTCTTTCGCGATCATAACTCCCACCATTCTGTTTAAAGGGCGCAGCTTCACACCATCTAGCTGCGGTGTTGGCCATTGAGATCCAAAGGCAGCAGGCGGTGCTTGTTCGACGTGCTTAAGCACGTTTGCGAGTTCGTCGGGATCATTCGGTTCCACGTCGACAGCGTAGCGTTTCTCTTTTGGTCGAAAGAGGAGAACATGGGCGTTCTCCACTAACGTACTGACATGATGCTTATAATCCAGGTAATTCTGTGCGGATTTATTTACGAAACGGAATGGGGCAGTTGGGACAAGATCGCTCAACAGGACATCGAAGGTCCGATAAGCCTGAAAATGCAAACAATGTGGCTGCAAACAAGTAACATACAGTAGGACGGCTATTTCACCTTTGGTTCGAAGTGATAAAATTCTTGCTTGGAACGGTAAAACTGTCCACCATCTTTAGCTTTATCACCGCCTTCAGCTTCATCTGCCGTCTCTTCGTCATCACCTTCTGCGTCATCCCCATCAGCTGAGACAGGCTTACGGGAACTCGCCCTGGCCCTACTTCTCCTTTCCATAGCTGTCGTCCCCCGCTTGACTGTTTCGGACTTCCCCGCAGTCTTTCCCGTTCGGGGCTGCATCTCGCGCTTGTCCGCGGTGTCTGCCTGCTTCTGAAGTGGCATCCTGCTCTTACGAGCGCGGTTCGTCGCCGTAGGTTTCTGTGGCGAAGTCGTCCCCATTGCACCAGCTTAAACGTTGGCCATGCTATCGTCACAGTACCAACAGAAACAGCGTTCCAGTTAAAAAGCTTCCCGTTAATAGTATCAAGCCACTCGTAGCCACAATAAAAATTTAAGTCATCGCACTCACGATGCTAACACTAATACCGTGCAACGGATGGCAGACTGTTGTTCAGCTTGTTCCGTGCAACGGCAGCGAGTGAGTCATAGCTTTGCCTGTACTACTTCACTGCACCGCACTACTGCGCTGCACATTGTGTGCACTGAAATTTTGGCTGTCAACGCTTCGATCAAAGCATTCACTCAAATCATTTTTAGTTCTACATTTTTGTGCAAATCATTGGTGTACCTTAAATCAAACTTGATACGGTCGTGCTTTCTATCTGACGATATGGCTGTACAGGTTATCGATATCTCGTATGCTCTTTCCTTTGGAGATAGCACATGGATCCCGGATACAAATTCGCCAGCTTGGCAGCGGTTCCAGAAAGCGTTGATGCAGGAACCCCGGGCGCCACGGTGCATCGTCCCAGCAGTGCCGGCATTGGTTGGACAGAATCAAGTCTACCGAGTATTTGGACACTGCGACGTACTTCTGGCACTGCGCGCAGGCGTAGACAATCGAATCGCGATCGAGGTATGTGGAATATGGTACTAGTCCGTCATTTGCACAGTCAAACGCGAGACACTACTAATTCGTACTAGTATTCTTAAACGAGCATCATATCAGAACTATTGAAATTGTTTGGTTTTGTGCCTTTTTCAGCTATTGCCCAGTGAGCCGTCCAAAGATGCACAAAGACAGGAAGCCGTGCGCTCCAAGCACCTTACAAACCTGCCAGCGAGTGTTTCCAACGTCTTTGCAAACTTACGCAAATGGAGTGAGGAAAAGGACTTTCCGTCGATCAACCATGCGGCGCTGATGTTCCCCGACCATCGAAACTGCCTTTTTACTGGCCAGCGACCCTCAGCAGCCGCGGAAAGCTGCATGAAAGACAACGAACGTGAGTGGGGACTGACATTTTTGTTACTCCAAAACGCCGATGCAGCTGGTTGTATCTCCGAGTTCTTGTCCCTTCTGGAAAAGATTCACACCACAAGCGGCAGAACAGAACTGCTCCAAAGATACTGCGATGACCTGACCAACTTTAAGAACACCGTAAGCAGTGCTTGAAATTTAAGGCGGCTGTTACGCATTTTGTTTCTGGTTTGCTCTAGTTTGTTTACCATTTTGGTGTGCAGATGCGGCAGAAACAATCCCTCGACAATTCCCGGAATGTTTTGACACAAACAGGGGTGCGATATAACGACACATTTGGGTCTGTCTGTATTTTGCTTGAATTCTGTCTCTATTTGCAGGATTCCGTGCATCCCGAATCCGCACCTCCGTCCGCTGCGGCAGTACCTCAAATTCCCATGTCCGCTGGAAAGGAAAAGGTACGGTGCGGTATGACCGTGTCACGCTATGTGTACTTGCAAAAAGCAATATCGTGTAGTAGTACGAAATTGTGTTATTGGCTGCAGACGTCTGTTAAGTCTGCGAGCACCGACGCTCAGGAAAGTTCCCGTCAAATGTCCGCTTGTGAAAAGGTAAAAAGCCTTGGTAACCGTGTCACGGTCTTAGCCCAGTATCGGTTTGCACCATATTGTTGTGTCATCGTATTGCAGGAATTTAAAGGTTCTAAGCTAGCACGTTCGCGTTCGGATGAATTTGCTGCAACCCAAACCAACGTAATGGTATTTTGGTATATGACCGTGGCACGGGTTTTAGAATGCCAGTTGGTAGAATGCGGTAGTTGTAAGTGTAGATTTTATTCCCGCAGGTAGCCAATATCGTGTTTCTGTCTGCGATGCAGATGTCCGAGGATTCGAAACTGACGTCTTCGCGTTCTGACGAAGTTGCTGCAACCCAAACTGAAGTAATGGTATTGTGATACATGACCGTGTCACGGTCTTAATTTATTTGATGTAGTGTTGTTATTGTTGTTCTGTATTGCAGAAAGCCAAGAGGTCTCGGCCGGCGTCTCGGCATTCTGATTATATTGATGCTATTCCTCCTATTTCCGCGAGCAAGTCTAAGGTACAGGTTCTGTGACATATTTGGAAAACTTTAGTTAAATCGCTGATGTACAGAAACGAGCATTGTTGGATGCTCTTGGCGATTCGGATACCAAGGAATCGGATTTTGCCGAGTCAGACGATGAGACAACATCCGGTAGTTCAGAAGAAAGAATGACTTCGCCCCGTACAAAGATGGAGGTACCGGCTTTACCAAAGCCGATATCACTGGAAAATTTGGCCGAACAAGTTCGAGTGAAATTAAGCTCTGCTACAAAGGTAAAATACCTCGTTTCAACCGTGTCACGGTCTCAACTCATTGAATGTTTCCTAAATCTTGGTGTGTGTGTGTTTTTGTTTGTAATGCAGGCACACAAGAGTTCTGAGCCGGCTCGTCCTCAATCTAATAAAAGTTCTGCCAGCACGGCCATGGTAAAGATTCTGTGACGCACTTGGATTAGCTTTAAGTTTTATTGTTGAGGTACGAAACGAACAACATTGGCTTTTTGTGACTAGGCGAATCCCGCGGACATTGAGGTTGCCGAATCTGACGAAGATCAAGATTCCAGTAGCGGAAAGAAATGGTGTGTGGCCCGTAAAGGGATACCCGTGACTCCACCGAAGCGCCACCAAAACGCCGAGTAGTCTTGCAATCCTGTATGCACGTGGTGCTGGACGACTTGCATAATTAGAAACATTGGAATAAGTGACAAGCGGAATTTTCTGCAAGCCTATTCATTTGTTGTTGTTGTACCTGTTTAGATCATTGTTCTGTGTAATCAGAATGTAGTACTTCTATGATATAAGATTATGTCTCCGCAGATGCCTTATGTTTTTGAGGTTTTAAGCTTTTTTTGGATTTTGTGTATGAATGATATTTTTCGCTTTACAAAGCCTTGTTATAAAAGTGGAGTTATCTCAGTTGAGCTTATGTTCTAACTTCTTGGCGACATATTTTGTCATTTGAAAAAATTGCAATATGCGTCTCATATGATAATAAAAGGTTTAAATATCATCGCCAAATCCGTTTCCTTCGATAAATCATTTTTTCTTTACGATCACCTTATAATTTCCCAGCGTGCGGAGTGACACATTGGAAGCAGCCATTTAATGCTTGCATGCCACCAAGATAACGAACGTGTAAAGCAAACCCACCGTCAAGTTAGATTACCCTCGTACAACCCTTTACGGCAATTGAAAACGCATTACGATCCACAACAAGAACGATAAACCTCTCGTTTGTGTTACATAATTCGGGAATATAGGCATGGTGTGTACTTTCCATAATTCGAACAACAAGAAAAATGGGGTAATCAAAGCTTTAACAAATTGGCTTTATTGCCAACAGACCATGTTTTTTACAGAGCTATTTTCTATAACATTGATTCGTTTTCCATTTTATTATGTGCTACAATTATATTGCTTAACGCCCGTGAAACGCGAACATTACTTTATTGCATTGAAGATGACTAATATTAATATAATACCATTCGGACCCGGGTTCAGATTATTTGTTAATTTGAAACGGACCGTGACACGGTCAGGCCGACACAGACAATTTTTTGGTTTTCCATGACTCAAGCGAGCCACGGTTACGGTGCCAAATGCTGACACATTATGGTTCTGTGCATCAACCGTTCAAGTAAATATCTTGATACACCGGTAGTTCCGTTGCTGGTATGAATTCGATCTTGTCCGCAGCGATCGGTGTCTCAGATTTGTCTCCTTTATCGCTTTTCTTTTTTGAATGCGTTCTGCAAATGTAACCAAAAACTCATGCGGACGAAAACACAGGATATTAAACCAAATAACGAACACCGCCAGCCAAAATCGTATGTACAACGTACAACATGCAAATATGCAAACTAGGGACTTTACTTGATATGTTTACTGAAATGGTCAGATCTCATAAATCTCTTTCCACAATCCCCACAATTGAACCTTTTTTCTCCTGCAAAATTCGAACACCCAGTTACATTTAGGCTGGATGCAGTCTGGCATGCAAAAGCGCACAAAGTAATCTGATTCTTTTCACCAATCAGACGTCGACTATGGATAGCTCGTCTTATCACCATATTGCATACCTGTGTGAGTTCGAATGTGACGCTGTAACTCGTCGGATCTCGTAAACCTATGGAAACAGAGGAAACACACATTCCCGTCATGCATAGTAATTAAAATAATACTTTCGCATAACTGCCATTAGATGTTTTACCGTCTGCCACAGAACATCCAGGTACATCCAAAAGGCCGTTCACCGGAATGCCATCTTAAATGGGTGCGCAGATGGGAGGTTTTGACATAGATTTTCTTACAATTTGGATAATGGCAAATATGTTGTTTTTTTCTATCCGGCATTCTGCCCCCCAAAAAATTTGGGCAATTTACCACATATTCGAAACGTCAAACGCGGTTTAAGTTCGCACTTACCGAACACCATCATTCCGCTGGCAATTCGGACAATCACAGGGTACTCGTTTTTGCCGCTTTGCAGAGAATCCGCTTTGAAGAGAATCCGACAGCACACCGTTAGCGACGTTGTCCGCTTTCAGTGTGATGATCTGCGGAGTAAAAGCGCTGGTCGTGGTGGAGACTGTCGATTTGGTCGCGTTATTCTGACTACCCGAGGAGGAAGGCGGGCACCCAGTCAGAACATACCAGGGAACGTGGATGGTCTGGTAGGAGACCTGCCCGTTGGGCTGGTTGATGGCGATCTGCACGGGGAAGCCGCTGCCATTCGATTGGGAGGAGGAGACCGTAGTCTGTACGGGCAGGGCCTGGACGATCTGCGGCACCGCGGCCGCTGTCGTTGTCTGTGCCGCAGGAGAGGACGTCGGCGTAATCGACTGCACAATGCCCGGTCCCGCGGCCGGGATGGTCTTGAAAACCCAAGACATGGGGTGATCGTAAAGTGATGCTCAGCACCGATTTGAGAGCACTTGTTCACTGATCCTTCGCTTACTCACTTGCTGTATCCGAAGGCTACGCACTCGGATAAAACTACTTCTACGCACAATTTACATGCGAATCTACTGTATGATGAATATGCGCTTATCCAACAGGTAGACTGCACAAGCGTACGAACGGCGCTTAACTGGCGTTTGGACACAATTCACAGTAGGTATACAAACGGCTATAGCCATCTACGAGTCGGCTATGGCTATAGCCAATTGCTAACCGTAACTCAGTATTAGACAATTTGTGGCAAAATGCGGCAGCAGCTATGCAGTTGGCTTTGCATTTTGGCTTTTGGCTTTGCATTTTGGCTTTGCATTTTTGCTTTGGCTATGCATTTTGCGATGTACGCCGCCCGTGTATAGATGTCATTTGATCCAGTGAAGAACAACATGGAAGGCATCGAGCAGCAGCAGTTGATGAAGTATAACACCATTCGCCGCCCAAGCCACCGAAAGCATTTCACCCGCGATCAAAGGCATATTATGGAAACATTTTATCAGCAACAGAGAAAACCCGAGTATCCGGTAATCCAGCGCATTAGTGAGCTTATAGGGGCAGCTGATAGAGAAGGAGAGACGAGGATTCAGATCTGGTTCAAAAATAGACGCGCGACAGAGAAGAAAAAGAACCGACGTGGCACGGGGGCCAAAGCGGTTTCTGCGGGATCTGTTATTCCGAGCTGTCCACCGCAGTATGTGCATTTGCAGCCACCTGCACCTTTGTCCTTATCGCTTCCTACGCTGCCACAACCTCCTGCAACGATCCCGGAAGTGCATACCAAGGAACCGTATGACGAAGTTCGACTTTCTTTTGAGTTCAAGGAGACCTACACGTAAGCGCAGAAATCTAATTTAAAATAATTTAAATTATGTTTTTTAAACGGTTGCCTGTATTGTAGCTTTATAGCCGGACAGGGTAAATTCAGCCAAGAATTGGTACAAAAACTGAAGACGGTATGCCATAATTTGTACTGAAGACGGTATGTTACCATTGTGCACGAAGCTCTTTATTTCCAGGTCGCGGGACAAAAGGCCATCATGTTGGCAGTCGATCCGGATGTTATCAATATTGGAGACTGCAAAGCATTTGTCCTGAAAGAACTGGAGTTGATGGGTGTTGTTGAGGTTCGTGCATAAATGCAAACTTGATGCCGATTTTCGAGATTACTGCGGCAGTTCAGTTTTGATTGAATAATTCATAAAAACGTGTGTGCCGCTTAGGTGAATTCTGTTATTTTTGAGTTTTACTGGAAAATTTCCCTTTTCATTACAGTACCGTCTGTCGTTTTAGATGATAGTTGTTTTGCGGAAAAACGCCATTCCGGACTCAGAATTCATTGCGGATCTGATCACTCGAGGGGATCTGAAAGAGGTAATTCCCTCACCTGTTATTTTTTCGAATTGAAAAGCAGTCAAGATTTTGTAATTAAAATAAGTTTGGTATTCTATTGTTTCCAGTTAACAATCAATTGAATACGCAATTTTGTACGAACAGCTTTTATGCGTGTGATTGAGTACTATTAAAGTGTCTTATGTTTCATATCACTTGTGAGTGACTGCAGTTTTACGAAGTGCTCATTTAACGATTTGTCTGTACTTTTCCTTTATTTAAAAACGTTCCAGTTTTTAACCATTAAGGTAGAAAAAATTAATTAAAAAAGATGTAAAACTGAATTAAATATAGTATGATAATTCCGTTGCTTACAGCATTGCCAGAGTTACGGCTTCGAATACCTCCTTCTGCCAGCCAAAGCATCCCAGCGGGATTTGAGTGAACAGCAAACTCTTCTGGACGGCCTGCTGAACCATTCATCGCCAGATGGCGTTCGCACCACCAATTCACTGCAGGCCTTTTCTGCAGTTTCCAGCCTGTCGGCCGATCCCCACAGTCTGCCGCTAAATCCTGCATCGATGTCGGAGATCATACTTCCTAGTAACCCTGTCACCGGCGACCTGCAGTTTGCTACGCGCAGTTCCAGTGTCACTGCCGCTATTTCCAGTGCGGCTGAACCGAGAGCTGCAGAAACCATACGTCCGCTGACTTCAAATTGTGAGGATATGTCCACTGTGTCAGTTAACAACAAACCAGGAGGGAAGGCGATCGCCTCCAAACCGGAGCAGATACAATTGAACATGGCCCAACTATCGCTTACGGCACCAAATGAAGTTTCCGGAGAGTGTTCGATTAAGCAACGGGAGACCTTTTCCGCGGCGCAAGCGTTCAACAATGGGTTATCTAATGGTACGAAGATCATGGCGATTCATTGTTATGTCGGTTGTATGTTGCAATTTTAGTTTATGAATTCTAACTCGTTTTAATTAATATTTTATTCAGGAGATAATGAAAATCTCTTAGCTGCGAACGTTGGGGCTACAGAGGGCAGCAAACGCGCCAGTCCGGACAAACGCCCGGTTCAGCTCGTTTCCGGACAAAAATTGGAGAGGTTAAACAATGACACCTTGACGCTCAGTTCCAAAAAGTTGCTTCTGATGAACCAGCTGGCCGAAGGATATCGTATGGTGACGTTTACATTTGAGGACGACGAGGGGAGGGTACAGACATTGGTTGTCAAGAATAACGATTTAGCGTTGCAAGAATGCTGTGAGCCATGAAATTTTTTGGTAATTTATTTTCAAGAAATTGTTTAATTGAATTTTTAAGGTTCTAAACATACTTTATCTTTGTGTTTCGGAGATCGGTTTCGTGTTTTGGCAACCTGGAGGATGTTACTTGTACGTCGTGAATATTTTCTTTGGCTTACAAAAGTTTATGCCAGCAGGCCTCATATATTTGTTTCTTACGCTGCCTATTGGGGCGATTGTTTAACTCTTTTTTAAACGCTCCTTTATGCGTTATTGCAATAAAATGCACTGTGTAAACTTTTAAATCGGGTTAGCATACGAACTGCCTGCATATGGGTCACCTCGAGTTGGGTATGCGCGTGCACGCACGCATGCATTCACGCAGCCAAAAGAACATCTGACGATTTCCGATGTTCGTGTATTTCTAGAGAACAACCTTCTGCTGTTTAAGTTTAGTGTGGCGCTTATCTGCGCTAAAGTTCATATCTTGAAACCAAACACAATTGTCATGACAGGCAAGACTGTGCATTAATCTACCGTGCCACGGCTTTTCCCTGAACGGATTAACCGTGACACGGGAATATTTGAGTTGTCCGATTGGTACTGTAGGATTGGAACACTCGTTCAGGGTACTTCGGAAGGGCTCGCGATGGGCTCGCGAAAATCTACCTCGCATGTCTCAAAATCGACCGGGGGTTCGAATTTATGCTTGGATACGGGTTAAGCCAGTCTCAGTGTGGTTCGTTGTCTGACCAGAAGAGGATCTCCGATACACTTACTCCATGATACCGCCCTTTGTCTTCGCTGCCTGCAGGGAACCAAAACGTTTCTCCCGCATCAGCCGAAAGTCCTTCTGAAAGTTCCTGTTGCCCTTTCCTTTCTTCATCTGCAGGTATCGATTTAATCTTTTCGGCCAAACGCCGAAATGGCAGTGGATCTGCGGGACTGGCGACGCTGAAGACATTATAGTGCTGAAAGTTTGAGGGCTAATGGAATGGCTGCTGCTAGATCATAGGACTTGGACGCTATTGTTGCAAATGTTGAAGCTTTCTGCTTACATAAGAATTTTACCGGTTACCGCTTACAAATAGCTCAATATGCGAATGAATTCATCCAGAACATGCTTAATGACTGAAGTGGAATAACTACCTGGCCGGTAACGTTTTGCGTGCCGTTTCACGGCTTGCACTTGGAATTACCGTACCGCGATATAATGTTAATATTGCCCGTGTTACGGTTTACAGCTGCTGTGGATGAATTTATTCAAGAAGTGCTTAATGGCGAAGTGGCGTCGCTTGCTGGCCGCCAAATTGGTAAACAAATCCAATTTGTTCTTGATAAGAAATTGCAAATATATTAGAATGGAATCAGTTTCTTCGGATTTATTAATAGCTGGAGATGTGAATAAATTTATCAGGCTAACAGGCTGACCATCATGTGTGGTTGCCATATAACACGGCACTAACAAGGTTCGAACGCAAGACTCACAGTGTGCCGTTTATTCCCGGTGCCTTGCACTTATACGGTATAAGGTGTGTGTACGTACCAGTTCATACATGCGTTTAAAGGTATTGAGTCAGCAATGGCCAATGAACATGATGGGGCCGGCTCACCTACCACTGGTGTCTAGTACTCCAGATTTCCAAATCTCGCACGGATTCAGAAATTGTGGTTCTTTGGTTTCTAAGTCGGTTCAATTTCACAATTTCCACGGATTTAGCAATTTTTAAGATTTGTAAGCCCTACGAGTCGCCATGAAGCGAATTTTGTGTTGTTTGTGGCTTATGATCGGTGCGGTCTTCGTTCAGTTTTCGATGGCAGCTCCAGGTACGTCCGATTGCGATTTCTTAGTGTATTGCGATTCCCTGTTTGGTTCATCTAAACGTGCTTTGGACCAGAAAAATTGCTATTGTCCCAGAGAATTCATTACTTGTATACAAGTCTGAGCATATGTAACTCTGCCAAATGTGACGGCGTTCGCAAAATAAGACCTTGATCGGAGAACACGATTTCGGAGCACCCAACTGGACCATCTTCTGCGTCTCCTGTAGCCCAATGCCCCCAATTCTGTGTAGACAATTATGGCGTTTCCGTTATGATCTGTGTTCTGTACACAGTACAGGCGGTCTTGTTTATTCTACTGGCCTTCAATCTATGCTACATGTGTTGGAAGGCTACGGCCGTCCAGCCGGTCGGCCGCACTCACACTGCCTGTGTCAAGTCACAGCCAGCCCTCCGTCCCGTTGTCCAGACGCAAGTGTAAAGTTTTTGAGTGCAAAATGCTCCAAAATTCCTAAGATTTAGTGCGTCTAGGCGCCTGAGTACATAGCTTTTGACAAGCGGGATATCGGGTTCGT